GGAACGTACCAAGTATGATTCTAGGAAAATTGGAAGTTGCCAAAAATGAAAAGTAATGCATAAACATCAACATCCCAGGCATTAGTGAGCTGAAATGGACTGGTATTGGCCATTTTTAATCTGATGCATGGTTTACTATGCCAGGAATGAGCAATTGATGAGGAATAACATTGCATTCATCATCAAAAAGAACATATCAAGATCTGTCTTGGAGTATAACGCTGTCTGTGATAGGATAATATCCATTCACCTACGGAAGACCAGTTAATACCACTGTTATTTAAATTTATGCATCAACCACTAAAGCCTGTGGTGATGAAATTGAAGAATGCTACCAACTTCTTCAGTCTTAAATTGATAAAACATGCAATAAAAATGTACTGATAATTACTGGCGACTAGAAGGCAAAGCTTGGGAACAAAGATCAGTAGTTGGAAAATGTGGCCTTGGTGATAGAAACATTGCTTGAGATTGCATGATAGAATTTTGAAAGACCACTGACTTCTTCATTGCAAATGCTTTTTTTAAGCAACGTACAAGATGGCTTATACACATGGACTTCACCAGATGGAAAACACAAAACTCAAATTCACTACATTGATGGAAAGAGAAGGTGGAAAATCTCAAAACAAGGCCAGGGGCAGACTGTGGAGTAGACCATCAATTGCTCATGTGCAAGTTCAGGTTGAAGTTGAAGAAAATTAAAACAAGTCCATGAGAACCAAAATATGACCTTGTATATAGCCTATCTGAAGACAAGAAAGAAGGAAAAGACCAAAATGGTTGTCAGAAGAGACTCTGAAACTTGTTCTCCAGCGTAGAGATGCTTATTGGCCAACCAGCTGAACTGAATAGAAGAAATCTGTATTTAGGCCCATTCCAAAGAGAGATGACTCAGTGGAAGGCAGAAATCATTGGACAATATCACTGATATCCTATGTGAGTAAAGTTTTACTAAAGATAATACGAACATGGCTGTAGCCATGTATTATTGACAGAGAACTTTCAGAGGTTCAAGCCTGGTTCAGAAGAGGACATGGAACAAATGATACCATTTCTGATGTCAGATGGATCTTGGCTGAAAGCAGAGAATACCAGAAAGATGTTTACCTGTGCTTTATTGACTACACAAAGGCTTTCGATTGTGTGGATCATGACAAGCTATGGGCAACATTGTGAAGAGTAAGTGTTCTGGAACACTTAATTGTGCTCATGAAGAACCTGTGACCAAGAGACAGTGGTTTGAACAGAAGAAGGGAGCACCGAATGGTTTAAAATTAGGAAAGGAGTGTGCCACGGTTGTATACTTTCACCATATTTATTCAGTCTGTGTGCTGAGCAAATAATCCGAGAAGCTGGATTATAATCTGGCATCAGGATTGGAGGAAGACTCATTAACCTGCAATATGCAGATGATACAACCTTGCTTGCTGAAAGTGAAGAGGACTTAAAATACTTACTGATGAAGATCAAAGACCACACCTTTAGTTATGAGTTGCATTTCAATGTAAAGATAACAAAAACCCTCACCACTGGACCAATAAACAATATCCATGTAAATAGAGAAAAGATTGACGTTGTCAAAGACTTCATTTTGCTTGGATCAACCATCAACACTCATGGAAGTCAAGAAATCAAATGATGTATTGCATTAGGCAAATCTGCTACACAAGACCTCTTTAAAGTGTTGAAGAGGAAAGATGTCAGTTTGAAGACTAAATTGCACATGAACCAAACCATGGTATTTTCAGTAACCTCATATGCATATAAAAGTTGGATCGTGAATAAAGAAGACCGTAGAATTGATGCATTTGAGTTATGGTGTTGGAGGAGAATATTGAAAGTACCATGGATTGCCAAAAGGACAAACCGATCTGTGTTGGCAGAAGTACAGTCAAAGTGTTCCTTGGAAGGAAACCAGGATGGCCAGACTTTGTTTCTCATACTTCAGACATATTGTCAGGAGGGACCAGTCCCTGGAGAAGGACATCATGTTTGGTAAAGTGAAGGGTCAGAGAAAAAGAGGAAGACCCCCAAGGAGATGGATTGGCACAGTGGCAGTAGCCATGGGCTCAGGCATAGTAGTAATTGTGAGGTTGGCCCAGGCCTGGGCAGTGTTGTTGTGTATAGGATTGCTATGAGTTGGTGTCGGGCTCAGGCATAGTAGTAATTGTGAGGTTGGCCCAGGCCTGGGCAGTGTTGCTGTGTATAGGATTGCTATGAGTTGGTGTCAACTTGAAGGCACCTAACAACAACAAATCTGCTTTACTGAGCATGACGTCCTTCTCCTGGGACTGGTTCCTCTTGATGACATATCCAAATTGTATGAATAAGGCTTGATATTTGGGGGCCATTTAGGGTGACTGAGTAGATATACCACTTCTTGTGGGTTATTCTCTTTTTTCTCAGAAATGAATCCCCTAATCTCCCAACTAGATCCCAATAATCTCTCAATATTTTGAGTGACAAGAGGGACTGGGGTCTTTTCCTTCTGAACCCAAATTTCTCTTCATTTGCCTGTATTCAGCACTGTGTATGCCATCACCCAGCTGTGCCGGGGGTGCCAGGTGTTGATGTCCACTGGGTCAGCATCTCAGGTCTTTTCTGGGTGCCAGTGACCCATCACGTAACTGCAGTGAATTAGGAGGGAAACTGTTGCTGTTACTGACTTTCTGCCGGTCCCCCGTATCTCAGCCCACACTTACCCTCATCCAGGACTCTGCCATGAGAGCTGAGTGCTCACATGTTCTAATGTTTGTTCTTTTGACTGTTTTTCTGCTGATCTTCCAAACCCCCTAGTGTCTTTAGCACAAAATTAGGAAAAAAAGGAGATCTAAGTTCTCCCTGGCCTGTAACTGAGTTTCCATCGATGATTTTGCTTTCCATCTTCCAAATTTGATTGAAACCTCTCATCTGCGATTGTTCCCTCTCTTCTTTGTGCTTTTGGGTTTACATTTTTTATGTCTTTACTCGCCGTTGTGGTTGGGTTTCAGAGGAAGCATGTTGTTGATCTGTATGTAACTGGAATCTCCCTTTGGGCCTTCATACTTCCTGTAACATCTCTCTGGAATGTTCTTCCTATGGCTCTTCCCAGTAGGGACCCATTGTCCTCCTGCAGGGAATGCCTATATGCCATCTCCTCCACAAAGCCTTCCCTGCCTGCTCCCTGTAGAGTAACCTTCTGTACCCCATTCCAGGCTCTCTCATTACTACCAAATTTGCGATGGCCTCACTCACCTCCTTGAGTAAGCTGCCACGAGGGAAAGTTTCCTTATAGCTTCTCTTCTCTTTTTGTAAAAATTCAACAATGGCTTTTATTGTAGCAGAGATGTCCATAACAAAACATCCACCAGGTAACAATTTCTACATGTAAAGTTCAGTAACATGGATTGTAGTCTTCAGGTTGCGTAACCATGCTTGCTACCCTTTTCCAAATCAATCTCCCATTAATGGTCAGTGTCCCCTAAGCAAAGAATCCCCCTTTCTTCTTCTCCCTCGCCCCTGGTAACCATTGCTTACCTTTGGTTTCTACATATGCGCTTATTACATGTGAGTCCAAGCGAGATTACACAGTAGTCTAGCATGCTCCTGAATAATTTTTTAAAAATGTTTTATTGTGAATTATGTGATAGTTTACATGGGAGAACATTAGCTTTACATTCATCCTATTGTATATCATTTCATTGTCATGGTTACAATCTCCTCCATGCATCATCAACCAACCACAGAGTATACTCTGCAAGACTGCCCCCACCCCCCGGTCATCAGCACACAGCCCCTCTCCCTCTCTGGGTCTAGACTCCCCAGCTGCTCCATCTCTCTACCACGTGATCATCTCTGCCTCCATCTCTGGCATCACTGTTTTTCTGCATAGGGTCCCTCACTCCGCTCTTCTCCCTTGATGGTCCCAGGGACCTCCCAGGGACCTCCACTCCTGGACTGCAAAGTCAATCACTCCCCTTCTTTTGCTACAAAACATCTGCCTTTACATTTTCAACCCTCACAGTCAGTCCTGATAACAATTTTTCACTATTGCACCACAAGAGACCTATCCCCATCTCCTTTCATCAGCCCCGCCCAGACAGATTGAATACTACTCAGTGGAGATTCTACCTTCCTATGCGCCCTCTGGATCTAGGCTCCCTCTTGAAAGCTTGTAAGCCAGTCACTTCTTGCCTTTGTAAACCCCTCTCCCCCATTTTGGGTAGCCAGTGTCCAGGTTGCCCATCCCTGTCTACCCTGTGTATGGAGGAGGTGGGAACAATCCTTGCTGTAAAGATTTGTTCCCCCTTTTGAGCTACTGCATCCATAGGTGTAGGTCAAGTTCATCAAATTGTATCAGATGACCTCTTTTTATCCTCTTCTTTCTTCTTCTGGTTGAGTTCTAATCATCCAGTCATTGAAACCAGGTCAAGTGGGTATTATCTGCAAGTGTGGGTGTTCTTGTGCATATGCCCTCGCTTCTTATCAGCTGGATGCTTCACTCTCTGCTCTAGTCCTCTGTGGCTGTGTCACTGACTCTGGGCCCAAGAATCCCCAGGTCTTGCCACACTGTTGGCCTACCAGGTCTCTACCCAGGTTCACAGGAGTCTATTGAACGTTGTAGGGCTTAGCTCACAGCTTCATTGCTGTTTTTCCCTCACTTCTCCTTATTGGTGATGAACGTGGTCACCAATCAGAGCACATGTCTACTCATGTATTCTCATTGAGTTTTAGTCTTGGAAGGGGGTCCTGAATCATTTTATGATTGATAAGTTGGTGAGCTGAACACACAGGAGGCACACATGAAACATTTGTTCATTGAACAATCCAGCAAAGGTTTAGAGGCGAGACGGCACTGTTTACCTGGACGGTAGGGAGCTGGCTGACTGCAAGGATGGGTAGAGGCTGCTCCCATGTGCAGACACTGAGCTAGACAGTAAGGAAGCCAAGGATGAGGGTGGGTTGGCTGGGTGGGTTCTCGGCATCTGACGCAGTGAGCCTCTGCCCCCACTGTACAGACAGACCCTGTACGGCTGACGCAGCTATATGAGCAGGCTCGGTGGGACCTGCTGCTGGAAGAGATTGATTGTACCGAGGAGGAGATGATGCTGTTTGCAGCTCTTCAGGTACCCAGTGGGCCTTCCGGGCAGGAAGGGTCAAATGGGCCGGGTCTCCAAAATGGCAGATGGATTGCCAACTCAGCTCTCTCTGACCCTGTGCCTCATCCAGTACCACATCAACAAGCTGTCGCAGAGCGGGGAGGTGGGCGACCCAGCGGGCCCAGACCCGGGGTTGGATGATCTAGATGCTGCCCTGAGCAACCTGGAAGTGAAGCTGGAGGGGTCAGCGTCCAATGATGTCCTGGTGAGGAGGGGCTTGGGTTGGGGGTGGAGTCAGCATCCAACACAGGAGCCCAGGTCTCAGTCAGACACTGCTCCCCACAGGACAGCCTCACCACCATTCCGGAACTTAAAGATCACCTCCGAATTTTTCGGTAAGTTTGGGCCAGAGGGATTGCCCTGCCTACAGAGGGGCCAGTCTATAGTGGGGAAGGAAAGGAAGTGGCCTTTCACAAACTGCCCCTCTGTGTTCCCAGACCTCGCAAGCTGACCCTGAAGGGGTATCGCCAGCACTGGGTGGTATTCAAGGAGACCACCCTGTCCTATTACAAGAGCCAAGACGAGGCCCCTGGGGACCCCATTCAGCAACTGAACCTCAAGGGTGAATGAGGACGTTGGGCAGCGCAGGGCAAGGGCCAGGGAGGGGAGATTGGGGCAGCTGAATGCTTTCACCCAACCTCAGTTCCCTCCTGGGGCCCAGGGGGTGACGTCCTGTGTCCTGGGGTGGCTGTGCAGGTCAGTCCCTGGCTTCCCATCCTCCCCTCCTCTCTCTCCAGGCTGTGAGGTGGTCCCTGATGTCAGTGTCTCCGGCCAGAAGTTCTGTATCAAACTCCTGGTACCGTCACCCGAGGGCATGAGTGAAATCTACCTGCGGTGCCAGGATGTGAGTGAGGCCAGCCCGGGGTCAGTCAGGGTAGGGGCTCGGGACCAGGCCAGAGCCGGGCAGAGGTGAGGGCTGGGGCTGGGCAGGTGTGGACTAGGGGGAGCGGTTCACGGACAGGTAGGGGCAGGGGTTGGTCTGCGCAGAGCCTACTAGTCCACTCCTTAACAGGAACAGCAATATGCCCTCTGGATGGCCGGCTGCCGACTGGCCTCCAAGGGCCGCACCATGGCGGACAGTAGCTACAGCAGCGAGGTGCAGGCCATCTTGGCCTTCCTCAGCCTACAGCGCTCAGGTGGCGGGGGCTCGGGCAACCACTCCCAGGGTCCTGAGTCCTCCACCGAGGGACTCAACCCCTATGGCCTTGTCGCGCCCCGCTTCCAGCGCAAGTTCAAGGCCAAGCAGGTAGGAATGACAGCAGCGTGTGCCTGGCTGCCTGGCCCAGGGTGTCCACAGGGAAAGTGGCCTTCTCCCACCTGTGCCTGTGTCATGCAGGGTGGTCACTCACTCACTGAGCCCCGGGGAGGCCAGGCCCCACCCTCTGGATGGGTTGGGTCCAGGTGCCCAAGCCCACCTCAGGGCCTGCTCCACTCACACCTACTGAGTGGTGAGAAGAGCGCCCCTTCCTGACTGGGCGTCTCAGGGGAGTGAGGAGAGGGGATGAGAGCCCCTCACCAGGGTGGTCCCACAGCTCACCCCACGGATCCTGGAAGCCCACCAGAATGTAGCTCAGCTCTCACTGTCGGAGGCCCAGCTGCGCTTCATCCAGGCCTGGCAATCCCTACCTGACTTCGGCATCTCCTACGTTGTGGTCAAGTATGCCCCCTGCCCCGACCCCTTGCCCCACCCCCGTGTCTGAGCTGCTGCCTGTCCACATCCCAAGAGTGGACCTCACTGGGGCACCCTGTGTGCCCCCCAGGCTCCCTCCCCCACACCTTATAACAAGCCCAAGTGACAGATCTCAGGACAGGAAAGCAGGACACCTAGCTCTGCGTGGGGCCAAACTAGGGACTCTTCTGGGCCTTCGTTTGCTTGTCTAGGGGACAGGGCTGCCCTGGGGAGCTGTTACAGGCAGGGTCCTCTGCTGATCGCCTTTGTTCCGCCCAAGATGAAGAGAAGGGTGGGAGGATGATAAGAAATACCAAAATCCCAAAGAGCTAATATTTAAAGCAACCATAGTTGGCCGGATGTTGCTAAATGCCTTGATGATTATCTCAGTTCTGCCCATTTTCCAGATTAGAAGCTTGAGGCCCAGAGAGTCTAGATAACTTGCGCATTGTTAAAGGGCAGGTGGGCAGCAGAGTGAAGCAAGGACCACAGCTTGGCCTGTCCCCACTGTGCTGGCTCGTGGGCACCGTGCCATACTGTGGGGCCCAAGGTCACTCAAAGTGGGGCTCTTGCTCACTCTCACCCCACCCCCACCCTGGGACCAGATTCAAGGGCAGTAGGAAAGACGAGATCCTGGGCATTGCCAACAACCGGCTGATCCGTATTGACCTGGCCGTGGGCGACGTGGTCAAGACTTGGCGCTTCAGCAACATGCGCCAATGGAATGTCAACTGGGACATCCGGCAGGTGGGCGTGGCATGAGGCGGGGCCTGACCCCACCAGGGCAGGGAGGGGCCGCACCTGCACCCCACCCCAGCCCCTGACCCTCCTTCGACCCTCCCACAGGTGGCCATTGAGTTTGATGAGCACATCAACGTGGCCTTCAGTTGTGTGTCTGCCAGTTGCCGCATCGTGCACGAGTACATTGGGGGCTATATCTTCCTGTCGACGCGGGAGCGGGCCCGAGGGGAGGAGCTAGACGAGGACCTGTTCCTGCAGCTCACAGGGGGTCACGAGGCCTTCTAGGGCTGACTCTGCTGCCTAGCTCAGCCCACACCTGCAAAGGCTATGCCCACAGCTGCCAGGACTCACTGCCGAACCCTTTCTGCCATGCACTGAGCTGGGCACCTCCACTGCTGTCACCCTGGGACAGAGGCCTGAGTGGGCCAGACTCTGCCACCACCCAGACTGGGAAGGAGAAGTACTCCTTCAGCCATACCCCTGACCTGTGTGTACACACAAGCCCCTGTGCACATAAGGAAGACCAAGTGTTGGTCTTGGCTGATGGCCCATTGTTTTCTTTCAAACTGGAGTTTCTTTTTATAAATAAATATTTTATTGCTGGACCATCCCTCTTCCTCTGGGGCTGTGCTTGGGGCCTCGCTGACACTCTGTCTCTTCATCACCAAACAAGGAGAGGGGTTTTCCTGAGATGGAGACACGCTGGTTAGAGACAGGGAGATTGAAGTTGGGGGTTGAAGGTGGGGGCTAGGGAAGAGAAGGAAGGGCATGGGCACCCAAAACTGGGAGTGGGGTCGTCCTCACGGATGGGGTGGAGCTGTAGGGCTTCTTTGAAGTACTTGGGGAGCAAAACCCCTTCAGCATTCCCTGGAGTCAGGATCACCCCATTGGTGGAGCGGAAAAAGGGGATTCCATCTGTGAGGAGAGTCAGGGCTGTGACTCCTGCCCTCCCTGAAGGCCCAGGACCATCCCTGTTGGGTTCAGGCTCACCTGCCAAGGCCAGGGCTCCGTTGATGACCACGGCCACTTCGCAGTTGGGACGCATGCCTGCAGAGACAACCAGAGCTGAGGCCTGCGGCACCTAAGGCTGTGGCCAACAAATGCGGCAGGCTGGGGTCCCCACTACAGTGTGGATGTAGGACATGGGATGGCCACAGAGTAGCCATAGACAAGAGGGGGCTCTGGAAGGGCAGAGTGGGTGGAACAGCTAGAGAGGTACACTGACCACTGATGATACCAGAGTCCCCAGGCAGTCCTGAGGCAAGGTGGATGTGTGTCCTTCCCTGGCAGGACAGGCCCTTGAGCAGGATAGATGGCCAGTGCTTCCAGAATGTGCCATGGACCAGCACAGCGGGCAGGGCCTGCGGCGACTCCAGAGGTATCAGCTCCAACTCAGGGACCTCCGATGGGGTGAACAGACAGCAGTGAGCCCCTCCCCCCTCACAGACAGGGCCGCCCCTGGCTTTCCCACCTGACCCCAGGGCCCCCACCTGTAGGGAATGACCCTGATTAGCTCGGATGAGGAGACCAGTGCTGGAGTCACCTGGCTGCAGGGTGAACCGCTGCTTCTCATTGGTGTTCACTACACGCTGCACATCTTCAGCTGAGAAATGGTGGAACTGAGGCAGCTGCAGGAGGGCACGCAGGGGCACGAAGCCATCTGTGGGCAGGCAGGGTGCTCAAGGATGGACCATGCTCTAGCCTGGGTCAAGGTGACAAGGAGAGCAGAGGCCTGGGCTTCATCTGTCCTTATCTTTGGGGCTTGAAGACAGTCTCCCCTGCCTGGGCCTCAGTTTACTGAGTTTACGTGGACCCGGACCACAGGGGAACTCAAACATCAGTTATCCCAATATACCCAGCGCCCAGCCTTGGGATGTGATTATTGGGTCACTTGGCTGAAGGTGGCATGATCAGTTTGTCTGATCTGATCTGAAGCTCTGGGAACCACCATCTCAGAGCCTCAGTCTTCTCTGCACATAGGGAGATTGTTCCGCCATGCCTTTCTCAGGGGGCAGTGGTGGGCACCATGGGAGAGAAGAGTCGCATACAGGCCGACAGAGCTCCCTCACTCAATCTCCAGGACGTTTACTTACCTGCCCCCAAAGGGAGCCCCAGCTTCAAGGCACCGTGGCGCAAGGCGTAAGACAGAGCCTTGGAGAGTTGCACATCACGGTCCTGAAAGAACCCAAAGGTGGTCCCTGGTCCCTGGTAATCCTGACTTGCTGCTCACCCTGCACCCTGAGACACCTGCTGCAGAGGGGGATGGGGCTCTGGGCACAGAATAACCCATCTGGACCCCACCCCACAAGCATTCTCCTAGGAGCTGGGGCTCCAAGGCCCTTAAGCCTTCCCTCTATGAGGGTGGGGTTGAAGGCGCACCTGTTCACGGGGTCTGTGGGCCCTTCTAGTCCGGGGCCCTGCCGCTTCCAGCCTCCTGCCTCCAGGAGGGTTCATGGCCAAGCCCTGCCGGGACAGTGCTTTAAGGACCCTCTCGTATTCCCAGCTTGCCCCGAAAGAGGCAAAGCCTCAGCACGTGGATATATTGTTGTTGTTAAGAGCCGTCGAATCCGTTCCTACTCACAGCGATCCTTTACAGGGTTTCCAAGGCGCACCTGGTGAATTTGAACCGCCGACCTTGTGGTTCAAACCACAGCTCCACTCTCATTAAATTCACTTCCCAACCCCAACCCCACGATGCAGAAAGGGAAAATGAGGCTAGGCATGCAAGACTTGCCCAAGGTCACACTGAGTGCCAGGCTGAAAGCCAAGCCTCCGAGTTTCTGGCCTGCAGCTCCGCCCCGCAAGATCCGTCTGGGGAAGCGCAGCTGGCCAGCCGCTGGCGTCCGGACTAAGAGGGCTGAAGCAGATGGATTAAAAGAGCAGCAAGGCGGTCCACACACAGGCTCACCGTTTCCGCCCGCTAGGTAGATGACCTCCGAGGCGCCCAGACCCACCAATGAAAGGCTGGAGAGGAAGGGGGCGGATACTTCCGCTCCGGGGGAGGAGGCGGAGCTTGCCGGTCGTGTCGGCAGTGAGTGCCGGTTGGAACCTGGGGATTCTGGACCTGGGAGGGGCTGTCGGTCCCGCAGGGATGGAGGCAGGTCTCCCGGGTTTGGGGGCCATAGAAATTGGGTGGTGACTTGACCCAAGGAGTGGCAGCAGTGCCTGGCAGTATTAGTCCTGGGTCTCAGCGGGGTTCGGGGATCTGGAGGGAATGATGCTGTCCAGGAAGTGGTCAGCGATCTTCAGAAGGGCAAGGGGTACCTTCAGAAGGTCTGTGATAGAGGGGGTCGGCTGTCGGGCTCAGGGGTGGCTGTGGGACCCTGGAAATGATAGGCCCGGCTGTGTCCTTATGCAGAGCTCCACTGTCCAGACAATGGACCCCGAGGTGACTTTGCTGCTACAGTGCCCTTTTGGGGGGCTGCCCGAAGAGCAAGTGCGGGCTGAGCTGAGCCCATCCTATGACCGTCGCCCTCTGCCAGGCGGGGACAAGACCATCGCTACTGTCTGGGAAAACCGTCTGCAGGCTCAGCCTTGGCTCTTCAATGCTCCCAAGTTTCGCCTGCACTCTGCCACCCTGGTGCCCACGGACTCTGCCGGGCCACAGCTGCTCCTGCATCTGGGCCTGACTTGCTACCGGGACTTCCTGGGCACCAACTGGGCCAGCTCTGCTGCCTGGCTGAGACAGCAGGGGGCTGCCGACTGGGGGGACAGGCAGGCCTACCTGGCGGACCCTCTGGGGGTGGGCGCAGCACTGGCCACAGCTGATGACTTCATTGTTTTTCTTCGACGCTCTCAGCAGGTGGCCGAGGCCCCAGGGCTAGTGGACGTGCCTGGTGGGCACCCTGAGCCTCAGGTGAGATGCCAGACTAGGCACCAAAATGCACAATTCAGGGAGCTTATATGGGACCATAAAGCTTGCTTTGGGCAGATGCGTAGTTCCTGTGTAGACAGGGGAAAGTCTCTCCACTACCCACAAGCCCCTACCCCAGACCCTCAGTATGCCAGCCAGTGGTAAAGAAAGAGATGCCCTACTCTATCCCCACTCTCTGTGTGCCGCCCCCCCCCCCAGCTGACTTATGATTGTCTGTGTCAAAAAGAGTGGATGTGGGTTTCACTCATGTTTCCACACTCGGCCTCAGGCCGGCAAATACTAGTAGGAGGACAGGGGAAGAGATGGGCAGCTGGGTCTGAGCTTGACCTCTCACAGGCCCTGTGCCCTGGTGACAGCCCCCGGCATGAGGACCTCCCTGGGGAGCTGGTGGTGCGGGAGCTCTTCTCCAGTGTCTTACGAGAGATCTGTGATGAGGTGAATAGGGGTGTCCTGGATGGAGGTGGTGGGCATGAAGGGAAGGGAGTCGAACATGCCAGGATTTCACAGGTCTGGACTGGCACTGAGAGATGAGCAGGGCACATTTGGATTGGAATCCTAGCACTTACTTCTCTGTGTTTCCGTTTCTTCTTCTGTACAATGGATACAATGATCAGTGTCTTGCCTACTCCCCAGGTTTGTTGAAAGAGGAGGAAATCAGAGGATTAGTTATTAAATCTGCTCCCCTTGGGTGGCCCTGGGCAAAACTGTTCAATCTCTCTGGGCTGTTTTTCTCATCTCTAAAACCAACAGGTTCAAGATCTGACGTTTGTTCTGTTATTCTAGACATGTGATCTACAAACTGTAAAATGCTATACAGGGGTGAGGGGCTGTTCTTCACTCAGAGGGGTGGGCACTGACAGGTGGGCACCCTGGCCCCAGGTGAACCTGCCGCTGCTGACCCTGAGCCAGCCCCTGCTGTTGGGCATCGCCTGCAATGAGACCAGCGCCGGCCGCGCCAGTGCCGAATTCTATGTGCAGTGAGTGGGCTCTGGACACAATCCTGGGGTAGGTGGGCAGCTGGGAATCCACAGGGACAACTCCAGGGACTGGGGACCCACCAAGTCCCCTCCTGTCCTCATCCAGGTGTAGCCTGACTTCTGAGCAGGTGAGGAAGCACTATCTGAGTGGGGGACCCGAGGCCCACGAGTCCACAGGGATCATCTTTGTGGAGACACAGGTGCGGTTTGGCAAGCTCTGCTTTGCTTGGACATGGGGTGGGTGGGGCCTGCAAAACAGCCTGGTGTGGTGGTGCCCACTTAGGGGTCTGGACCAGATGGGGCCTTCCAGACCTGCTCAACTCCCCACTGTCTCCGTGGGGTCTGAGGCTCAGGAACCCCGGGCAAGTTCAGGAGGGGTACACGAGGGCTGGATGTCTGGGTTTTCCCACAGAGAGTGCAGAGGTTTCAGGAGGCTGAGATCTGGGCCGAGCTCTGCCCCTCGGCCAAAGGCGCCATCCTCCTCTACAGCCGGGTTCAGGGCGGCGCCCTCCCGATCCCAGCCCAAGCACCACAGCTCTGAAGACAATAAAAGACTTTATTCTTGGATTCCGTTAGTGTCTGCTGTTTCTAGGAGAGCCTTGGATAGATGAGGGAAACAGGACAAGTGACTTGAAAGAAAATCATCAACAAAACAGCTAGTCTGTGCCCCTGTGCGCAAACCGGACGAGGGCAGGGACCTCCTTGTCAGCTTTCTAGCCTAGGGGTGGAAGGCTGTTCTGTAAAACGTGCCGAGCGGAATAACAACCATGTCTACTGGCCGGAAAGTTTCAGTGAGGGTCAGCCCGGGACAACGGCGGCAACAGGACGCAGGCGGCACTTTGCAGGTGGACGTTTGCGACTGTCTGCACGTCTCCAGGCCTCGTCGGTGGGCGGGTCCGCGGCCTCAAAGGCCAATAGGTGCACGGGGAGGGCTCTTCAGTGCAGCCGGCTCCTTCCGACTTTATGGGCGTGGGCTTGTCTAAACCAATGAGGATTCTGGGTGGGCGCAGGAAATGGCGACGGCCGCAATCAGCGAGTGGCGCGGGGGTGGAGATTGGCTGGGGCTCCTCCCATACCCGCCTCCCTAATCCCCTGGGTGGATGAGGGTCACGGCGGCGTCCAAATTGGTGGTTCAAGTACCCGAGACCTGTGAGGGGCAGGGCCCCAGGCTCCGGATCAGAGGCGGGGACAGATTCAGGACACTAAGTTCTGGTCCTGAGCAAGAAGGCCCCAGGCTTCCCGGGTTTGCTTGTTTCCTTTCGCTAGAGAAGGGAGTCAGGCCCCTACCCTGAGCGCTTGAAATCCGGCCCCATCCTGGTTTCCATGCATGCCTCTCTGTGGTCTCCTTCCCTAGCTGTCCGCCCGCCATCATGCCGCCCCTGTTGCCCCTGCGCCTATGCCGGCTGTGGCTCCGCAGTCCCCCCACCCGGCTACTTGGAGCGGCCGCCGGGCAGCGGTGAGTCGGATGCCGGGGGCGGGGCCCGGTCATACCATGGGTATTTGTTAGGGCTTGGTGTGGCGCTGTTGGGTAAACACAGGACCTTGTTAGCCACAAGGTCGGCGGTCAAACCCACCAGCTGCTCCTTGGAAACCTTATACAGGATCGCTGTAAATCAAGTCAGAACCCACTTGATGACACTAACATCACCACCACCGAGCTCTAAGCCCCGGTCCTCAGACAGTGTGGTTTCTCCATTCTGTGTCAGGTGCCTAGTCTCAGGTAACCCTCACTTCACTGCTGAAGACACAGACTCAGAGATTAAGGGATGACCCCATGGTCATACAGTGAGTTAAGTGGTGGACCTGGAATTTGAACCCAGGTCTTGTTCAACCCTGATGTGCTTTTCACAACATCGGTGCTTATCCATCTCCACTGTACAGGGGTACACTGTAGGGGTAGGGGTGGTGGATGGGATTGCAAAAGTGCAGTTTCCTGGGCTCAACCCTGGAGATTCTGATCAGCAGCATGAAGCCGAGATCAGGAACTCTGGTGATTAAACAAGGTCTTCAGCTATATCTGATGCAAGGGGTCTGAGAAGCACCTTTGCTGCATACTCAAAAAGGGTGGAGGGATTTGGAGCTGGGTCTTTGGGACCTGCCTAAGCCCTTCAGCCTTGAGGAGTGAGGGTTGGGGCCTGCAAAGAAGTCTGGTGTCCACCTGGGGGATTCCTGGGTCTCTCATTACTCTGGAATCATAGGGTCTCATGTGAAGATGCTCCCACCCTCCCTCCCATGTGGCTCCCTGAGAGGGTACAGAGGTCTCTGAGGCTCAGGAACCCTGGGCAAGCTCAAGAGGGGAACAGAAGGACTGGCTCTCCCTGCCAGCAGCAGAGTTAGAGTGATGATGGCTCAGTGTGCAGAGGGAAGGGGTCTCCTTGGGGTTCCCTCAGCCCCTGTCGGTTGGGGCCTCTCTCCTCAGGTCTGGCCCCAGGAACTACTATGAACTTCTGGGGGTGCATCCTGGTGCCAGCCCTGAAGAAGTTAAACGAGCGTTCTTCACTAAATCCAAAGAGGTATTGGTGCCACTCGGGGTAAAGGGAGGTCTGAGTCAGATGGGGATGGGGGATGCGCTCCAACTTCCCAGGAATGGAGGTAGGGAACCGTGTTCCTGGATGCTGCCATGTTCCCTCAGCCTGCAAGGTAGGGAGTGGGAGGTATACAAAACAGGATGAGGGGTGGGATGGGGGGCAGGTCTAGGCCAGGTGGGAGGAAAGATTGGAGCAGGAGCCAGGGGTCCTGTCAGGGGTTAGGCTTGGTTCTCTTGAGTGAGAACCATTGATGGGCTGAGACAAGGCATTTGGTGAGATCAGGGGCTGGCAGGTAGGGTGAACGTAGGCAGGATGGGCAGAAGTCTGACCTTCCAGAGGGGCGGGTGGACCTGAGTTCAGGGGTCACTTCCCAGCTAGGGATTCTGGGACTGATCTGAGCCCTTGTGGGTGCACACTACAGAGTTGGGTCCTGGGGGAAGGAGCATGATGAGGAAGGTGAACGGAGCCCTGTCCCACCCCAGCTACACCCTGACCGGGACCCTGGGAACCCCACCTTGCACAGCCGCTTTGTGGAGCTGAGTGAGGCATACCGTGTGCTCAGTCACCAGCACAGTCGCCGCAGCTATGACCACCAGCTCCGCTCCGCAAGCTCCCCAAAGTCTCCAGGAACTGCAGCCCACCCAGAATCTGCCCACCAAGCACATAGGTACAGCAGTCCCAGCCCCCAGCTCATTCCCCCACGGTGCCTGGGGTGCCTCACCTCTACACCATCCTTCCCTCTCTCTCAACAGCTCCTGGGAGCCCCCCAACGCACAATACTGGGCCCAGTTCCACTACGTGAGGCCACAGGGGCCTGAGGCCAGGCGGCAGCAGCAGAGACGCAACCAGAGGGTACTGGGCTATTGCCTCCTGTTCATGCTGGCCGGCATGGGCCTGCACTATGTGGCCTTCAGGTGCGCCCTGCCTCCCCAGGGAGGGTAAGGGAGGCCATCAGCTCAGCAAGTCCCCATGACCACCATGCTTTCGCTTCTCACGCTAAGAATGCTATTAAACCCCGTCCCTGGAGCCTCTTCTTACTGGCAACGATAGAAGCAGTAATAGCTAGCCTTGTCGTTTTCCATTTTTCATAATTTGAACGTAATTCTTTTGTGCCAGCTACCAGGAACTGTTCTTGTTCACGAAATTGGAGCAAACCAAATTCGTGAACAAGAAGCAAATGCATTTTTACTAGTCCTTGCCAGCACCGCGCTGTCTCCCAGTTGGTAGGCTCTAGGCCATTCCCATGGTAGGTGGGCACCATGGCAGGGATACTTTACAGTAAGTTACACCCAGGCCAGTACCCACCACCAACTGCCTGCCTAGATCAGTGATGGTCAGGGATAGGGATCTATGGAGAACCATTTTCTACTCTGCAAGGATCACTCTGATGCCTGAGTTGATGACACTATGCTTAGCAGGTCAGCCATGGAGCTGGATCTCCATTGGACCAGGAACAAGTCCCTTGACCACCTATTGCAGTCAGGGTTGTTGTTGTTGTTGTTAAGTACCATGGAGTCGGTCGACTCATAGCAACTCTGTATAGGGTTTCTGAGGAGCAGCTGGTGAGCTTGAACTGCCGACCTTGCAGTTCAAACCAACCTTGTAGTCCAGCGCATTAATCTTCAGTGCAGAGTTAGGCTGCCTTAAAGTTGTCAGACCCCAGAGTGAGGTGGAGAGGAGGATTTGGGGGCCAGCAGGACTAGGAGACCCTGGTTGATAGTAATGCCCTTGCAGAAAGCTGGAGCAGATGCACCGGAGCTTCATGGACGAAAAGGACAGGATCATCACCGCCATCTACAATGACACACGGGCCCGGGCCAGGTCTGCCCCTGTCCTGCCCCTCCTCACTATCTGGGCTCCATGCTCCCGGGTCCCTGCCCCAGCCAATCCGTATTCTCTCTTCAGGGCCAACAAAGCCAGGCTCCAGCAGTCACAGACGCAGACACAGCCACTGCCGCCACCGCCACAGACCCAGGACCCTGGGGTCCTGCCCGGTGGCACTAACCCCTGAGGGGCCACTCTGATGGGGCCTGCAGTGTGCCCCCTCCATCCTTCTCTCCCAGGGATCCCCACTCCCCAAAACAGTCAATAAAGTCATGCTCACAGCTCATTTCTGGCTCCCTCCTTTAGCCTGCGCCCCCCACTAGGGCCTCGCCTTAGGGCTGCGATGCGGGAGCCCGGCCCCCTGGGCAGTGCTTACTCTTTCCCGGCCTTGGCAGGAGGGGGCGTGTGGAGGGCGGGATCGTAGCCCCTGCCCCGCCCCCGTCCCACGGCCGGGTGGGGAGCGCGTGTCTGGGTCACATGAGCCGCCCGCCCGCCAGCCCGGCCACCCCGCCATCCCCGCCGCCGTCCGCTGTCGGCCACCCGCTTGCCCGCCCGCTCCTCCGGCCGCCGCCGCTGCACTGCTGGTACCCAGGGCTCGGGACGGGGCAGCGGAGGAGCCGCCCCCCGCGCCCGGCCCCCGCCCACCGCGCCTGGGTCCGCGCCATGGGACTGTGGCTGCCGCCGCGCCCCGTGCCTCCGGGCTAGGGCGATGCGGGCGCCCCCGGCGCTTGGCCCCCTTGGGCACCATGGGCCCCCTGCTCCGCCGCCTGCTGCTCGCCGCGCTCCTGCAGCTGGCCCCCGCCCAGGTACGTGCGGCCCCGCAGCCCGCTACTCGCCGTGCCCTCTCAAGGTTGGCGGAAGTGGGGAGGCGTGCGCCTCAACTGAGGGAGCAGCGGGGTCCGATCCGGGAGGGGGGCATTGCCGGGCTGGGCATCTCCCCTGGTAGGCACCTCTCCAGTCGACCCGCCTGCTCAGCCACGGGGCCAATCCCACGCCCCACCCCGTCCCACCCTGTCCCCTGGTCGCAGCTGGGGGCGGAGCCGCCTCGCCCCCACAGGACCTGGTTCGGCGCCCACTGTGCCCCTCCTGACCTTTGGCCTTCAGCATCAGGCCTGCCGGAGGCTTGGAGATTCGACCGTCGCCCGCAGAGCGCTCCAGGCGGGTCGTGGGCCAGGGCAGGTCCCAGGTGGCCAGGAGAGGACAGGTAAAGCTCAAGCCACGGCCTAGGAACAGAGCAATCTGGAAAGATGTCAGAGCTGATGCGAAGCCCCCTGACCTCGAGGACAGAGCCCTGGGACAGCAGGAACAGCCCTTCCTAGAATGCTCCCTGGGCCCAAGAGGTGGCCCACGCCTCAGGTCTCTTCTCTCCACAGGTCCCTGCCTCCCATGCTGATGCCTTCAGCCACCAGAAGAAAGGTAATGATAACAGTAACTTTGTAAGAGCCCATGCAAAGTGGGTTTGCCACATGCTCTGAATCTGCATCACAACTGTCGTGGAAGAGGCAAAATCTTATTCTGCCCATTTCTCAGAGGATGGAGTTGAGGCAGCAGGGTTCTAGATTCTGGATAGACATGGTTGTTGTTGTTAAGTGCCGTCGAGTCAGTTCCGACTCATAGCGACCCTGTATAGGGTTTCCTAGGAGCAGCTGGTGAGCTTGAACTTGCAGACCTTGCAGATCAAACAGCTTTGCATTCTGGCGCATTAACCCACAGTGCCACACCAGGACTCCAGGGCTGAGGGAGGGTGACTAACTGGGGAGAAGAGCTGCTAGGCTAGAGGGCAGGAGAACCAGGGAGCAGTTACTGGAACCCCCCCTTGGGGACTTAACCGTAACTGGTCTACCGCCAGTGGTGTCATGGATCGATGTATATACCCGAGCCACCTGCCAGCCTCGGGAGGTGGTAGTGCCCCTGAAGGTGGAGCTCATGGGTACCGTGGCCAAACAACTGGTACCCAGCTGTGTGACCGTGCACCGCTGTGGCGGCTGCTGCCCAGACGATGGCCTGGAGTGTGTGCCCACAGGACAACGCCAAGTCCGAATGCAGGTACCAGGGCATGCGGGTGGACGCTGGATCAGGCCAGGGTTTTTTTCCCTTCCAGCCCTTGGAGCGTCCCTTTCTCTGTCATGCTCACTGTCTCTCCTCCTCCTCCTGAGCACAGATCCTCATGATCCGGTACCCTAGCAGTCAGCTGGGGGAGATGGCGCTGGAAGAACACAGCCAGTGTGAATGCAGGTACCAGCCAGGCCCACCTTCTTCGCTCGCTCGCTCGCTCGCTCACTCGGGTGGGAGCAGGTTTCTGGGAGCAGGTTTCTGGAATAGAGGCGGCGTAGGCTTGTGGGTCTGGGAAAGCAAGGTACTTGAGTTTCCTGATACTCTCTCCCCTTGTCTCTGTCTGTCTCTCTTACCTTTCAGACCAAAAAAAAGAGAGAATGCTGGGAAGCCAGACAGGTGAGCCTCTTGGGCTCCCGCTGAGGTAGGGATGGGTGAGGTGGGGGCTGTATGAGTGTGTCAGAAAGCTGTGGCCCCTCCCTCTTTCACCTCCCACTTGTCCCCTCTTCTCCCCTTTCCTTCTGCTCTGACCAGACCCAGTTCCCGGGCAGCCTGTTGCTTCCTGCCCCAGACATATCGCTTCTCCTCCAGGGCTTCCACTCCCCACCACCGCCCCCAGCCCCGCTCTGTTCCGGGCTGGGACTCTGTCCCCGGAGCACCCTCCCCAGCTGACACCACCCATCCCACTCCAGCCCCAGGCCCCTCTGCCCACGCTGCGCCCAGCGCCGCCAGCGCCCTGACCCCCAGACCTGCCGCTGCCGCTGCCGACACCGCAGCTTCCTCCGTTGCCAAGGGCGGGGCTTAGAGCTCAACCCAGACACCTGCAGGTGAGGGGCTTGTGGGCGGGGTCTTGGGAAGGCCTCAGGCCCAGTGTATCCTGGAGTAGGTCCAGTGTGTGCCTGCCCCTGGGAGGAGAGCCAGGCGAGTGGAAGCTGTGGAATGTACTGAGAAAATATTTGCTAGGTGTCTGTTGGCACAGGATCAGTGTAAACAATACTCATGCTCAAAGACTGAGTCCTACTCAAGACAGATGATGCCAGCAGTGAGGGAGGCCCCCTGACCCAGTCCGGAGAGATCAGAGAAGTTCCTTTAGAGGAGAGGTGAAGAAGACAGTTTTCCAGTTTGCAAAATTCTGGGCTTCCCAGAGGCAGTGTAGTAATTTGTACCACCTTAGCAACCACATGGTGGGACCCAATCTGGTGCCTTTGTCTGGCATTTCTCCACTCCACAGCAAAGCCATGAGGTGTCATCAGAGGCAGGTCAGTTGGGAACTTCTCTGGTGTGTTCAGGTAGAATGGGGCTTACTGAAGAGGGGAGTCAAGAGGAACTGGTCAACATGAACAGACCCTTCTTCCCCTCAGGTGCCGGAAGCTGCGAAGGTGATACATCGCTTTTCAGACTCAGCAGGGCCACTTGTCTCAGAGGACAGTCCAGCCCTGAAGACCTCAGCTGGGGTGGACATTGCTCCAGGACCTTGGCCTCTTACTCTTGCTGTCTCCTGCCCCATCTCCCAGGCCACCATCCAACCTGGTGGGCATAGTCGGATGAAGAGACTAGGAGGCATCAAGAGGGGTCATGTACCAGTATGAAAAGAACAGGATCCCTTCTCAGTGTTAACTACCTTGCGCAAGGAGCATCTTACCACCAACCTCTCCCTTCCCGACTAGAAGACCCGATTCCTACACATAATGTGATTTGGGCTTTGGTACAAGAACTGTGACCTCCCCCTCATAAAAGAGATGGAAAGGAGCCATCCCTGCCTGTGTCACTGTTTGTCACTGTTCAGGCTGGCTGGCATACGCATGAATGTTGACATCCTGTTGCCTTCTAAATCCAGCTATCTCCCCTGCAGACATGAGGCCCAAGAGCCCGCCAGCTGGCCCCAGGCAGAGTTCTAATCACACATTCATGGCACTACAGGTGCAGAGAGGAGCTCTGGTAGCGTAGTGGTTACGAATTCGACTATGAACCTCAAGGTCAGCAGTTCGAAACTACCAGCTGTTCCACAGGAGAAAGATGAGGCTTTCTGCTCCCGTAAAGATTTATAGCCTCGAAAACCCTGTACAGGGTCGCTATGAGTCGGAACCGACTCCACAGCACGTAACAAGAACAACACCAGGTGCAGGGTGATCACCCATTTGCCCTCATCACAAGGTTTCCGTTCTGGAAGATGACTTGCTAAGGCTAATGATCTTCTGGAGTCACAGCTGGCACTGCCCATCTCTCTGAACCTGTTTCTACCAGTACACGTGGAAGAACTGGATGCCTGTAGTGGTCAGGGCCCTGGGGTGCCAGTGACACTTGAGAAACAAGCACCCATTTACCCGTCCAGGCAGCGCAGCACCTTAGTAATATAGGTTGGCCCTGATTTATGGCAGGCTCTGTTTCCCATGACTCAGACATAAGTAGTTCTGACTTTTTAAAGTTTTTATTTTGATTGCCTTTTATTAGCAGTATGTTTATAAATCTGATCTTTGAACAGCTGAGTTCAATGATATCAAAATGAATGATAACATTAGCAAATTATGCATTACAACATTGTAGTACATGTCCCTAATGCTCAAAACTCAAAACCCACTGCTGTAAAGCGATTCCCTATAGGATAGAGTTAGAACTGCTCCCTAGGGTTCCTAAGGCTATACATTTTTATGGGAACAGACAGCCTCTCTTTCTTCACCTGTTACTAATGATAAGATATATATATAAAAAAAACAAATGGTCATAAATGTAGTTCATTGTAATTAGAATGCACCCTAAATCTGGGACTCCTTTCCTGAAGGTAGTTTTTTGCTTCCTGAAGCTTAGTTCAAGCTATACACCCACCCAGTGTCCACCTCACTCCGACTTCTCTCAAAGTCAAGCACCAAGAACCTGTGACTACTAGGCGTGGTGTGGGAGACAGGTCTCCACTCCCACCTCTGCCTGAAGTTTTTGTCACCTCCCTTGCACCTCTGGGGTGTCCCTCATCAGCTGCTGCTTGAGACTCTCCTGAGCTTGCTGGACCCAGCCCAAATTCAGTACCCATTCTTCTGCACCTCCAGTGCCCCATGACTGAGTGTGAGGTGGGACATCCAAGGATAGAGGTTACCCCAAAGCTGCCACTCTAACAGGGGCTTCCTCAAAGTGGGGGAAGCAATTGTATTCATGATGGCCCATAGGCAGCAGTGGACTGAAACAAGAAGAGACAGTGGGTGAAGACTGTGGTGGTCACCTCAAATCATTTCCCAGCCATGATATTGCTGATCATGCCATATCTCACCTGAGACAGATGAGGGTCAGGAACCCTAGAACTTCTGTGTCCACTGGATCGAAGCGAACACTACCTATGCTGATATGTATGCACCTCTGAAGTCAGCCCTTTCTCAGTTAAGGAAACAGACCCCAAAGGCTAACCGGCTGAGATCTGAGAAGTTGGTCTCCTTAGCACCACCTGGATTTAATTATCTTCCAAATGCAGGTTCATTACTGCAACTGGCAAAGGTTTACTGAGCCCTGTTTAAGGGCAATGGGCCCAGCCAGGCCTAGAATTTGAGTCGGAATCGACTCCATGGCATTTAGCAACAAGTCTATGTGGGGTAGGCTTGGGAGGGAGATAAAAGGGAAAGAACATTAGCGGTAGGCCAGAACCTAAGCCTGTGGCTCTACAATACTCCCTCAGTCCTACAGGAGCCCTGGAGGGTGAATGTTACCAAGCCCAAGTAACAGGGACGCCAGATCCTAGCAGTGAAGCAACTATTCAAGGTCACAGCCAGGCAGTTAAGGGGCAGCTCCAGAATTCAAACCCAGGTGCCCTCTAAAGCCTGAACTCTTTCCGAAGCGTCCAGCTGGGGACCGTGGATCACAAGGAGGCCCTGGAATGACAGGGACGCTGCGAGGGAGGCTGGAGGGGCGCCTCAATACACCGGGAGGGAGCGTGTTTGACCTCAGGCTCACCTCGGCCGGAAGTGCTTTCGGCCCGCTCGGAAATCACTTTCACCTAACCTTACGGACTGACCCGCCGGAAGTGATGTAAGGTCACGCTGTGGTGCGGGAGGCGGTGCTATGGAAAAAGACGCCCCCGCGGGCGTGTGGCCGCGGGGTTCGTACGGTCCAATGAGGGAGGGCGGCGTGGCCCCGCCTAGTAGCGATGATGATGCGCCTGCGCAAAGGCGGCAGCACGACGGGTTGACTCCGGGGGCGCGGCGAGGAGGTGAGCGGGGGGCCACAGCCCGGGCTGGGGGCGCGGGGTGCAAGAGGGCAGGCTGGAGCATACCGGGCAGGAGCGGGCTGGGACTTCGAGTGTTAACTAGAGATAGGCTACGGGGAAATTGAGGCTGGGGTCGGAGCTGTCTGGGATGCCGCAGGGGGAGGGACCTCTCGTTCGGGGCGGAGCCCCTGGGTTAGGGGCGGAGCCTAGAGTAGAGACGGGTGGGACCTCCGAACTGGTGCCAGAGGGAGGTGGGGCTACGCTGCGGGGGGCGGGGCTATCTCAGGTGGGAGGAGGGGCCTGGCTCTTAGAGGAGGAGCCAGAACAATTGGAAGGTGAAGCCTCGAGTTTGGAGACCAAGGGGTATCGAGCCCAGGTACCGGGAACGGGGCTACAGCCTGTGAGTGGTGTGGCTGCAGAAAAGGAAAGGGGCTTTCGTTCTGTCGGGGGCGGGGCTCCAGAATTGGGGGCGGAGCCACGATTAGCGAGGGGCGGGGCCAAAGAGCCCTGTGAAGGACCTGGCTCGGGTAATAGCCTGGGGCGTCCACGCGGGGGCGGTCTCCGTGGTGGTGGGCCTTGGGGACGTGGTAGGCCGAGAACTCCCCCTGGAGAGGTGGTGTGGGTGGAGCGGGCTCGGCGACCACCTAACACAGAACCCATCTGGGTGCCCCGGAGACCCCCGAGGGCTCAGAGCTGGGGTGGTGCCCCGAGCGGAGGCACAGGGTCGGCCTGGGGGATACCTTCCGAGGACAGGGCCACCCCGGAACCTCCCAGTGGTGATGTATGGGTGCCTCGAGGTCGGCCCCCTGCAGCGACCGCAGAGGTATGGGTGTTCTGGGCCAGGGGTAGCTGGGTGTGGCGTGAATGGGGACGCCCGGTCACCACGCCCGCTGCGCAGTCTGAACGGGTCTGGACTTTGCGTAAGGGGACTGGTGGGAACTGAAGAGCTGGGCTGGGAACTGGGAGGGAGGGAAGGTCTGGGGGTGAGCAGAGGGGCGGGGCCCTGGCTGCTGTGGCCTCCCCTGATCCCCTCCCCCCGCTGCTGGGGTCCTCGGCCAAGCCCCCTTCTCACTGGACTGGTAAGTGTGGCCACGGAGGCCGGCGGAGGGGGCGGTGACCCAGACAAAGGGGCCTGCATGGTATAATGTGGGGGGCGGTGTGGAATCCTCCTTCCTGTACCTGCCCGTTTCCATGCCTTCCCCGCCCTTCTCCCAATCTATTTTGATTGGGGCTGTGCCTGCAGAGACATGAGGCTGAGCTGGGTCCTGGCGATACTGTCCATCGGCCTCAGCGCCCTGGCCACCACCACTGGGGCCGAGGGCAAGCGGAAGCTGCAGATCGGTGTCAAGAAGAGGGTAGACCACTGTCCCATCAAATCCCGCAAAGGGGACGTCCTGCACATGCACTACACGGTGGGTGAGGGGTGGGGCGTGGGTGGGCGGGGCTTCTGGGTTCCTCCACCACCAGGTGGGTGAGAGGGTAAGTTCCCTCCCCCGTGGAAGGCAGTTTTCATGGTTGTACCCTGTCCAGCCCCCAAATTGGCACCTAACCTCATGCCCAAGGCTTTGTGCCTATTTACAGAGGGCTGTCTGTGGGGCCACCTTAATAGGGAGAGCAGCTGCAGGTCTCAGGAGGACTCTTCAGTTCTCACGCCCGCCCCCATCCCACAGGGGAAGCTGGAAGATGGGACAGAGTTTGACAGCAGCCTGCCCCAGAATCAGCCTTTTGTCTTCTCCCTTGGCACTGGCCAGGTCATCAAGGGCTGGGACCAGGGGTTGCTGGGGTGAGTTGAGGGGCCAGGAGGTGAGTTGTGGGCAGTGGGGCAGGGAGCCTGGGTGTTACCATGTCCTGATCTCCTGTCTTTTTGCAGGATGTGTGAGGGAGAAAAGCGGAAGCTGGTGATCCCCTCTGAGCTGGGTAAGAGGCCCAGTAAGGGCCTTGTGGGGAGGGGTCAGGAAGGGTAAAGGCTGGTTCAGCCACTGCCTGCATGGGTCTCTACCGCCAGGGCCGGCTAGTGGCACCTCCCAAGTCTGACACTGAGGACAGGGCCCACCCTTTCCCTGATCCCTGGCAGCCCCTCCCACATCCATTCCCAGTGCCTGAGCTGGCGCTCTCTGTGTCTTTGTGCCTCTCCCACAGGTTATGGAGAGCGAGGAGCACCCCCAAAGATTCCAGGTAATAATTGAGCCCACAACTCCTCCGTAGTCAGCCCATCTACCTGTGACCCTGGTTCTCCATTTGACCCCACTTCTCCCCACAGGCGGTGCCACCCTGGTGTTTGAGGTGGAGCTACTCAAGATTGAGCGACGTTCAGAACTATAGCCAAACCAGAGAGGGGCAAGGGGGAGAGGCCCCCAGAGTGAACCTGTGTGTGTTTGTGGGCCCTGGGACATAAGCTCACAGCCTCGGGTTCCCTTCTCCTTTAGCTTCCTGCCTTTCTCCTTCCCTGGCAGAGCCTTGGCCTCTGGGCTTCCTGGCAAGGGGTCACAGCCAGGCCTAGTATAGCAGGGTGGCCTGTATCTGCAGAGGAAGGAGAGCGCCTGCCTACAGCAACATCACGTTCCCCCCACCCCCAGCTCCCCAGCCACTTCCAGCTCCTGGTCTGGGAGCCAGCCCTGGGCTATCACCATGACTGCATGGCAGGTCTGCAGTCACCTGGGAAGCAGCAGAGCTGGCAGCAATTGGACAACAGCATGTCCCCCCTAAGAAGAGACCAGCTGAACCTGGAAACTGCATCAAAGGCATCTCCTAACTTTATTAAAGGGCCCGCGCCGCAGAGTGAATATAAAACACAAAAAGTCCCGTCAGTTTAATAACAATAAAAAACCCCAAAAATGGAAAACTGAGGGGGCAGGGGAAGAAGCCCCTGGATCAGGGGCACAGGAAGCCCTACTCATGGCACCAGGCCTGGCTGCAGGGGTCCCCCCCAGGTATTGCTGTTGCTACGAGGTTGTGGGGGGCAGCGATTGTCCTGTGGGAGCCACCAGTCACCTGGGTTGAGGACCCTCACTTCTTTTGGGGTGTGCTCAGCTTCTGCATGCCCCGGATCTTGTCCAGCAGGTCAGAGATGAAGGCCTGGACAGGAAGGAGGGTATTTGAGAAACCAGACCCCTAGACAACGGAACCAAGTCCCACCCAGCCCCTACCACTCACCTCAGTGGGTTTGTAACAGTCAACCAGCAGCTCCTAAGGGTATCGGGAAGGGCGGATTCAGTACAACAGTGAACTCTTAGGAAGACAAGCCTAGAATTCATCTGCACCTACTTCAAAGGGCTTGGGCCAGCTGAGACAGACAGATGGCACTGTGCCGCTCAGTTAAGACAAGTACTGTTATCCCTCTCTTTAAAGAGGCAGAGAAGCTAAGCCCAAGGTCAGAGCTGGCCTGCTTCCCTGAGGGACCACCCTGCATCCCTCTCACCTTGACCCTGGCAGCCCGGGTATCATCACTCTCCATGTCCAGCAGCTCATCCACGTCAATTTCCAGCTCTGGAATCTCTTCTTCCTGGGGGGCGCGTGGGGGTGAGGAGGAGAGAGGCAAGAGCCTCAGTGGTTGAGGGGTGGGAAGGGCTCCCCTGGTCAAGGCCCCTGCCCACTCTGGTATGGGCCCAGCCCTCTGCTCAGCAGACAGTGGCAGCTGCTCTGAGAAGGAAAACAGATCATCCCTGTGCCAGGCAAGCTGCCCAATGGGGGGAGTATTTCCTGTCCCAGTCAGCGGGCACCCTGGGTGCCAGACAGCCAGGGCTCAGGGCCCTGAGCTGGAAACCTCATAGAGGTGTGTCCCCCACCTCACCAGAGCACAAGTGGGACCAGCTGTCCTAGTTCATCACAGCCCCCTCCCCTCACCCAAAAACACCTGTCACAGTTTTCCAGGAGGGAGGAGGAATGGAAGGGTGAGGGGGTCAGAGGGAAGGACCCAGGCCTGGGAAAAGGGAAACAAAGAGCCCGTGTTCGGTTGAGGGAGGGGGCGCACACCTCCCCTCCCCCCAGGAAGCAGCTACCCAGTCCAGGACCAGCTGCATTCCAGGGCAGGCCCACTCCTCCACCCTGCCCCCTGGGGGCCTGAGTCACCCTCTGAGCCACCGGGGAGTCATAGGGCGGAGAACCAGAACCACAGAGCCGGTTAGCCTGCCCCACGCCAAAATGGAACTCTAGGCTAGCTCGTTTCACTAGCTCACACCCTCCATCAGCAGGGCTACGCTACCCTTCAGCCAGTCTAGGCTAGCTGGCACTCGGTAGATTACACCTTCCACTGCCGGACAACCCCGGCTAGCCTCCCTCCTGCCCAAGGCCCATGCTACTGGGGGCTTTTGGAGGACCCCAAGCTACTCATGCGGGGTAGGTTGTGGAGAAGATAAGAGTGACTTCGGTCAGACAAGAAAGAACACACACCGGGGACGGGAGTGCAGAAAGGAGGGGGGCGCGCGTGGAAAGCCGACCGCCCAATGACTTAGGGTGACAAGTAGGCTCACTGTGGGGATCGGAGTAGCCCTACTAAAGGCCGATTTTAGGGTGTCAATGCGGGGTGGGGGGGGTCACACCTGGCAGTCGTAGAGGCGTGTAAGCTGCTCCAAGATCCACTCTTCCAGGTTGAGGCGCTTCCGTAGCTCCTTACGGTCGTACTTGACTGTGACCTTCCCTTGGCGCCTCACTGGGCCATCGTCGTCTGCGCCGCCCGGGCCCTCGCCTGCGGCCCCAGGTGGACTCTGAAAGTAGACGCGGGGCCCTGGGCCGCCACTGCCCGGTCCGGGAGCCGGGGCCGCCAACGCCGCGCC